TCTCTCTCTCTCTCTCTCTCTCTCTCTCTCTCTCTCTCTCTCTCGTGTGTTTTGGTCTTTTTATTACTTGGAAGTGACTAAGTTACTTGTTAAGTGTCATCGAGTTAGATCCTACTAAAAAGCTGACTCACACAGGCACCTGTCGTGTTTCTCCTGTGGAGCAGCTGGTGGATTCTAACCGCATGCCTTTGAGTTAGCAGTACAACTCCTCGTGGACTATTGCCACCAAATCTAGGAGAGCTAGGAAAATGCTTCTGAGAAGCTAAAGGGACCATTAACCAAGAAAGGACACTTTGATTCTGAGTCACGCGAGAAGTTAAGAGTAGGCCGATTTACCAGTCAAAGATGCCAACAAAAGCAAAGACGAGGCTAAACATGGGGCAGGAAGCCAGATGGATTGATAAAGACCAAAATCCAAACCACTGCCATGGAGTCAGTTCTGGACAGAGTGGAATCCACAGGGCTTCCAAGTACAAAAGTAGACCAGCTCATGTTTCTTCAGGAAGCAGCTAATTCATTCCAAACACTGACCTATGGTCCGCGGCTCAGTTCTTAACCCAGTGCACCACCAGGGCACTTTGCAAGAACCAAAACTCCAAAATCCACTGCACTCAAGATGATTGTGATTTAAGGCGACCCACCATCGGGACGCTGTAAATCTTAACAGGAAGGGACTGGCCCATCTTGTGAGTTGAATTGTTGCTTGTTGAAAGTAGCATTCTCTTCTCTAAAGGGAATATTAAAAATATCTATAACTCAGAGAGTTCTGGTAGCAGAGTGGCAAGAAGTTCCACTGCAATCCCAGAGGTGCGTGGTTTGAATCCACCAGAAGCTCTGCTGGAGAAGGAGGGACAATCTCCTCCTGTACCAGTCAGATCTGATTTGACAATACACACACACACACACACACACACACACACATTTATAACGCCCCATCTCCTAGCATCCTGAGCTGTGTATGTTTACTGAGTGGCACCCTTCATCCCAAGTCCTTATCTCCTTATTAAACTTTCTTTTATCTTCATAGGATGTTTTGTTTGTTGACATTGCATTTAATTTGTTTTCCATCTTCTTCACTAGTATCTGCACTCCATAAGGACAGGAATTTAGGCTCATTTGTTAACTTCTTTAGTTTAGTAGTACTGGACTCATTAAAGGTAATGAATCTGTGCTGAAATATTATTGTGTGACTGAATGAAACTTGGCATTCGATGATTTTTAATATTTAATATATTCCCAACTTTGACAGAATTATATGTACTTTAAGTTCTTTTTTCATATAAACACAAAACATTTTTAACTTATAAATCATGGAATATTATAATCTACACATTCCTTATTGTAAATTATTCTGGCCTATTAGAGATGACCTCCTCATTAGTACACTATTAAGATGTTAGAGTAGGTGGTATTAAGTGGTAGAGCATTTAAATGAAATACCTAGCCAGTTTAAAGAATCTAGATGTCTTAGGCATTAAATCATATAGTTAGCTGTATTTTTAAAAAAATAATCATCTTGTTATTAAAAAGGAACATAAGATTTGGAAATGGGAGTAATAAAATCTGTGGGTGTGAGATTAAAATTTCTTGTTAGATACACAACAAGAACTACTAATCAGTTCTTCAGTTGTGACATTCTAAACAGGACACAAGAGACACACTGGCTTTAGATGTCTCAAGTATGCTAATTTTCGATAATTTGCTCTGCAATTTTTCACATATCTACTCCCTTACTTTCACTTTTAGGACAGTTGCCTCAGTTCTGAATTATTCATACAGAGAGATAAATTCATGCAAGTAATTTTCTCTTGTAGCTACTACATTTAATGAAACTGTGTAATGAAAACTACCAGCCTTAAGGTTCTTAATGAAAAATACATAGATAGCAAGATCTGTTGCATAACTTTTGCTTCAAGTAAGTTAAACTGCATTTCCAAGACTTTTTAGAAAATAAATGCACCACATTTCAGTTTGTTTACATGTATGTATGTATGTATGACCAGTTCTAGATTCAAGAAAATACAGAAGATTCAGAGATAACTTAGAGGGAAAAAATTAAATTATTAAAAACTAAATAAGGAAAATATTGATAAGGCAGTGTGGTGTTAGCCTAAAAGTTGGCTCTTTTTAGCCATTACAGGTTAGCCCCCTCTGGTTTTTAGCTACCTTAACTGCAGACACATGGTCTTGCAAATCAGCATCGTCTTACAAATTATCAACAGCTGTGGGACCAGGATAAGTGAAAGAGTGCTTCCCACACGAAGAAGCAAGACTTGAGGAAAGCAAGACTTGTGTTAACAAGATTTAAAGGAGACTGGCAAAAGATACCAATGAGAGTAAGATCGTGGTAAGAGAAGGGACTGTGGCATTGCTGTGGAGAAACTGTAGCAAGCTGTGACCTGAAGCTTCTTGCATCTGTGCTGGCCACAGTTAAAAGTTTTTGCAATTCATGCCTGATGCTTAAAACAGCTGACTTATAACTGCTCTGAGGCAAATCTTGCCTGATGGCTTTGATTTTACTGAACTGAAACTAGAGCTTGGACTAATTGGAGAATTGTGCCTTAGAAGGTGGGCCAAAACCTGCACTTGTATTGGGGTTTTGCCTTTCCGACTCTCCATCTTCTTTCCCTAATAAACCCCACTGTTGGAACCCATTGTTGGTACCATTGAATCTGTGAGTCAGCAACAAACAAACCTCTTGCTGCTGCTACAGCTCTAGAGGCACCATTGGGGACGGGCTCTTGATCTGCTTTCTGCTCTGGGGCAGTGAAAGGTTGTGCTATTCTTACTCTGTCTGACCCTTTCAGAGAGATGCTTAGGGCCTTGTGTCACCATGTACCATTTTCTCCTACTTAGACAGTCAGTGAAAAAGATCAGTATTGTACACCAGCATATTCCATCTTATTGTGCGTCACAGAGTACATTTTAAAAAACCATTGAAGGTTTATGGCAACCCTGTGGCCAAGCAAGTGTATTGGCACCATATTTCCAAACCATGCATTCATGCCATGTTTCTGTGTTCCATTTTGTTAATTTTCCGAGTATTTAAAACTTTTTTGAAAATGTATATCATATAAATGCTTTTAAATGCACTGGGAAACAAAAAATGTTTTTGTGACTTGCTTTACTATGATATTCACTCTATCACAACAGGCTAGAACTGAAGGTACAATATTTCTGAGATACGCCTGTATTCACAGACTCTTCCTTCAAGAATAATGAACACAACAGAGAAGCAGTTCTGGAGGCAAGCATGTACAAATTACAGTTATCAACAAACCAGGTTAGTTGGGCTTGGGTTGTGAGGCATGAATGGACTCAATACTCAATGTTGTTATTGTTTTTAAGTGTCGTCGAGTCATA